TTTTGGTGGAGAGGAAAGAAAGTCTTTTCAAATAAAATCGTACGTGGGCCCCAGGATGCTACGTTTCCCCCAATCTGAGCTGCCTCTGATTATAAGATGCACCATCACGGAACAAAAGAAAGTGCTGTCATTTTTTCGTGTAAGACGCCAGGCATTGTGGAACCGCAGTGCAATTCCAGAGAAACAGAAAGATGGAAAATAATGGGCGTCCAGAAAATCAATACAATACAGAATGAAAGTGAAGAAGTATATCGATTCCCGCTGATGCAGGTTTGGGAATTCTGGAGTCCTTGACCTCTTCCTAGCCCTTTGGCAGGTCTGAAGAGACTCAGAGCTTCAGAAAATACAAATTCCAATTACTGCAGCCAGAAAGGCAAGCCACAGATCGGAGGAAGAGGTCTGTGCCTCTTACATCCAACAACTGAACTTAAATCCACAGTATGTAAAGAGTTGTTACAAATGAATAAGTAAAGCAGCAGTAAATGGCGAAGAGACATTGGAAGACCTCTTCACTGAAGAGAATAACAAGTAGCCAAAAACACAAGAAAAGGCGCAAATTAAAATCACGGTATGGGATCATGGGGCGCCCACACCAGTAAGTCACTAAATGGAAAGGACAATATTAAGTGATGGTAAGGGTGTGGAGCAACCGGAATGTTCACCCACTGCTGTAAGAGGGGTAAATTGATACAATCACTTGAACAAATTGTTTGTATTGGTTAAAACCCAATACAGAAAGAACTTAGAACCCAGCGATTCCATTCCTAGTGCATTCCTAACAGAAATGTATGACGCGTGTAGCAAAAGACATGTGGAAAGATGTTCACATCAGGCTTATTCATAACCATTTAAAGCTGGAAACAACCAAATTCTCATTTAGAGTAAAAGGAATAGAGCTCTATACACATGATGGAATACTATACAGCAGAGGCAATGGATGAGGCACAGCCACGCCCCTGACACGGAGGAATGTCACGATGTTCTATGAAAGAAAGTAAACAAATAGGTACACACATGTGATTGCATTTAGGTGAAGTTCAGAAATAGCGGGGGAAAGCTAATCTTTATAGTACTAGAAGTCAGTTTAGTGGTTACCCTTGGGGAGGTAGTGGCGGACAGGGCTATGCGGGGGATTTGGGGGGGGGTGCAGCTGGGAATGTTCTGTGTCTCCATATGATTGCTTTGGTGTGTTCAATTTGTGAAAATTCATGGAGCCGTATACTTACACCTTGTGCACTTTTTTGTATGTTGGACCTTACTATAAAGTTTAAAAAGGAGGAAGAGGGAAGAGGAAGAGGAAGAAGAGGAGAGAGGGGAAAGAAATCATAACACTCAGTCACCAGAATGTGCTTCCCGGGTAAAACTCTATTTTGTCGCCTAATTGGGTTTCTTAGGGAATTGATGTCCCGCCCTTGGCTTGCAGTTCAGGGCATTGTCCACAAAAGCCCTCCTACATACCCCCTCTTCTAATTCCTGGATGAATATCACTGAGGATATACTTTGCCATGTCACTTTTGCCTTTCACGAGGACTCATAGAAGAAACTTCTATGATATCTCAATACCCAGAAAAAGTAGTATTCTCTCAAGCAACAGGTGTGTGTGTGTGTGTGTGTGTGTGTGTGTGCGTGCGCGTGTGTGTGTGTTTAACCTGGGGACAACAAGTCTACGTAATAGCTTGCTTCCCTCTTTGCTTTGGTTGCTAGGAAGCTCAGCGTCAACATTTCGGTTTACATTTCACACTTTCATCGGCCCGTTGGATGTCTATTCTGCAGCAGGGGCTGGGCCAGTGTGAAGAACAAAATAGACCCCCCACCCTTGGGGCCTCACCAGGTGGGGACACAGGCATCCCAGAAGGGGTTAGAACACCTCCATCAACGCAGTAACAGGAAGCTCAGGGCCCAGGATTGCAGATCGTAGGGGCCCAACCCATCTTTCAAGGGTTTACAAAGGCTCCTTGGAAGAAGTACCTCCTGAACTGGGTGACAAGGGATGACCAGGCATTAACCAGGTGAGGAGCGTGGAGGGAAATATTCCAGGCAGAGGGTACAGCACATGCAAAGTCTATGAAGCGAGAGCGAGTCCGAGGCTCACGGTAAGTCTCTATTTCCTAAGTCTTCTCCCCATTTTATATGCCCTTCCACCTCTTATTTCCCATTCCTCTGCCTTTCTTAGTTTTGAAAGTTTATCTTATTTTTCCTCCAGGCACCGCATGTGGAGAAATGAGAGGATTTATTGGATAGAGAGACACAAAGAGCCTGAGTAGAGTATGGAGCAGGTGCTGACACTTGAATGCTGGGTCCAGGTCTTGGGACCCTGGCCGCCTCCCTTCCGTCTCCCAGCGCTGCGTAAGCTGTAGCTCTAGATGCTAATGACGTTCACCTCGTCACTCTCTCCCAGTGTCTCCCCGCCGCTGAGCACCCCAAGCCCCCGCGTCCTACTTGACAGTTTGTGATGAATTACTGTATCACGTGTCAGCTCTGCGGGAAGGAGTCTCTGCAGGAGAGTCACCGACATTCCTAGCCACACACGGCTCTGATTTTCTCACATCGGCCGCTCTGGCATTGCTACTTCCTGCGGGAGAGGTCAGGCCGCGTGCTCTCTGAGCCTTGAATGACACTTGGGTGTCATGTCTTTTCCTCCTTACAGTATTTTCCATAAGAGGGCATAGACCTCAGTGTAGCCTTTTCCACCCTGCCTCTCCTAACTCTGTGTGATGTGACGGTCCCCTTCCAGGAGTCTCTGACTCTTTCTTGTCTGTTGGAGGGAGACAGAGAACCCTTGGTGGGGAGAGTGGACACGATTACAAGGAGAATGCAAAGGGGTGGAAAAGAGAGAGCCCCCACCCCAAGCTTCACTCCAGGTCCCCACGGGGAGCCAGCCAAGCTGTCAACATAGGAAGCAGAATGGGTTCTGTGATCAATGGGCTTGATCAATGACAGCCCCCACCATCCATCTAGCAAACCAAGCAGTATTATCAGCACTGAGGGCTCCACAGGCACACAGGTGTGGAAAGCTCTGGTTTTGCTCCACACCAACAAATATCATCCCCTGCTGCCTGAGGACCTTTGCACTTGCCATTTCTACTCGTTTCCCCAGATCCACACATAGATGTCTACACCAAATGACTCAGATCTAGACTCAGCCATCTCAACCCGTGGAAGCTTTCCTGGACCGCTGAAGCAGAAACAGCCCCCTCGCTGTCACCTCCCCCTGCTGACTATCTGCATCTCTTCACCACCGTAAAGCAGTGTGCTTATTTTTTTACTGTGGTCTGTCTTCCTTAGTTCGCCTGGAGGCCTCATGAGGACAGGGACTTTGCCTCCTGCCTCGCTGCCTCTGAGGTGGCCAGCTGAATGCCTGCTACCAGGGAGATGCTCATACTTCTTTGCTGAACGGATGAATAAAACTGGGGCTCCATTTGAGCTTCAGCAGGGACCCTGCAAGGTGTCCAGGGCTTCAAAAGTCAGCCGAGACTAAGGATAAGACGGGCAAAGCACTCGCCCAGGGTGCAAAATTTCAGGGAGTGCCAAGAAACTCAGTGACTGAGATAAATAGCATTCTAATGCAATATTTAAGAAAGTCAAAATTAATGCCAAAATTCCGTGATGAATAGAACATCAAAAATTTAAATGAAGACAGGATCCCACAGCGCTGACTGCCTCACTTGCCCCTCACTTTCATCCTAGCCTTTGTTTATTTGAAATCTTGGTATTTGGCTCATTGTAGATTTTTTTTTGCATTAATTTACATTTTAAAGGATACCACATTGAAATACGATTTATCTTGCTGAGTTTTTGGCACCCCTTTAAATTTCATGCCACAGGCGAGTGACTTCCTTGAGTCCTGGCCCTGAAAAACCAGCGGAACAGCAAGTTTCCAGGAGCTGAGTGGCTCTTCCATACCCCCAGCCTCCCCCAACCACATCTCACATAACACTGTGTGAATTTGCTTAGAATCTGGAATTTGCAGTGGTCCCCTGGGGCAGGGACTCTCTGACTCCAGTCCTCATCCCCAGCCAGTGAACTCAACACCCAACTAAAGGCATAAGACTTCAGCACACCCCCACCAATGTAATCTCCAATCACATGTTCCTTTCCACCCACAAGAGGCAATCACCACTCCCAATCTGGTGTTATTATTCCCATGCAAATATCTTTACACCGTAATCACATGGTATATGCTCTACTCAACACACAGTACTGTCTTGCACATTTAACAAATTAATATGTTCAGGGCGCCTGGGTGGCTCAGTTGGTTAAGCGTCGGACTTCGGCTCAGGTCTTGATCTTGTGGTCCGTGAGTCTGAGCACCACATCTGGCTCTGTGCTGACAGCTCGGAGCCTGGAGCCTGTTTCAGTCTGTGACTCCCTCTCTCTCTGGCCCTCCCCTGCTCATGCTGTCTCTCTCTCTCTCTCTTAGAAATAAATAAAACATTAAAAAAAATTAAAAAAAAAGTTCTCCTCTTGGGAGCTACCAATTTCTCTTTTTGCCCATTTTTTTTTCCTACTAGAGTGTTTCTCTTTTTCCCACTGATTTAAGAAAGTTCTTTATATGCCCAAATACCTTTGCCGGTTTCCTGTGTTGCAAATTTCACTGCCCAGTATGTGGTGCATCTTCACTTTATGCTTTGATACACAGAAGTTGATTACTTTAATATAGTCAAACATATCATTTGTATCCTTGTAATGTGTACTTTTTTGACTTATGTCAGAAACTCTTCCCTCTGGAATCAGATGATATGGGTTTGAATCTCATTGCTATGCATGCTAGTCGTGTGATCGTGGGGAGATACCTAACATCCCAGAGCCTCCGTCTCCTCCTCCTCCGTAAAATGGGGACAAGGGTAGTATGTCCCGCAGGGTTATTTTGAGGGGTTATTTATAAACCCTTTATCTGAAGTTATTTTGTAAAACACTTAGCAGAGTGCCAGGCACATTGTCACCGTCCATCAACAGACCTCGCCCCACCCAGAGGACCCCACACGGGAGGGACAGGGTACCTTGCTCTCTAGCAGATCCGCATTCTGCCGGAGTTCATTCCGTGACTTCTCCGATTTTTCTAGCTTCTGTCTCAGCATCGTGAGCTCCTCCTGTAAAAAGCAAACGCCTTAACAGAAGCCCTCCTAGCTCAGAGCAAGGGTCTCCGCCTGTGGCGAGCGTGCCCAGGGAACGGAGCGTGTGGTCCTGCCAGCCTGTCTGCGACGCTGCCCGGATGCCGAGTCCCCACGAGGGACGTTCTCTTGCCCCTTTTCTGAATATCAGTGTCTCTACTCACGCAAGCCTGGGGCCAGCAGGCTCGGATGAGCATCCCAGTCCAGGGGCGGGACGCAGACCCTCAGAGTGAGTCCGTTAGGTGACCCAAGACTGGGTGTGGCTGAATGGGAGGGCGGGCTCGGAGGGCGGGCTCGGCCCCTTCCTCCTCCGCAAGACCACTACCCCGACAGCAGCTCTGCGTGATCCTTACGATACCGTCGTTAGGAGCAGCCTAAGTGCCCACCCACGGCAGACCACTGGGATGAACTGTGGACTGCGCACCAAAAGGGAGTCAGAGGCTGCCGTGGACAGAGAATCGGGAAGACCTCTGAGCAAGTGGACATGGCATCAGTGTCAAAAAATATTTTTAGGTGAAAAATACCAGGGGCAGAAGAATATAAACCGTATGCTACCGTTAGTGTTTGAAAGAAAGGAATTGTGTGTGCATGTGCACGAATTGGCGAATTTTGCAAGACTAAGCAGCAGCAAGGATAAGCTGGAAACCAATCAAAACAGTCACCTGTGGAAGGTGGGCGCCACCAAGGCGGAAGGGACAGTGAGCCCCTGTCTGAGAGGTTAAGGAGACAAAGGACACAAAGATGTCACCACCAAGACTCGCTGGGATGACCAGTAAGTGCGCATGTGCCCCTGGGTAGTAACTGGGTTTCTGTCCAGCGCCCACAAGCCCACCGTATAGCTGCACAGGGGGTGGAGGGTGGTCTGTGCCTGTGTTGATGGGGGCAGAGTGATATCCAGAAGGGGGCAGCGAGGGGTGCCGAGCAGAGCGTTTCTAGATCGGAATCTGCAGAGTGGAGGTGCGGAGCCTGAGTGGAAGCGTTAACACAGGGGTGTGAGGACACGGCTGCCCGGCGCCTCCCCTGCTGCATGGACCGACCTCCTTGGCACGGAGCTGCTCGTCCCCAGCGGTGGCACTCAGCAGGGGCCGGAGGGAACCGAGGAGCCGCCACCACGGCCAGTCCTTGACCTCCAGGAACACAGCCATGTTCTTCTGGATGCACCGCGCGGCCAGGCGGCGAATCTGCAGGGAAAGGAAACCAGACATGAGGGGTCCTTCCCCACCCGGTAAAGGTGAAGGAAAGAGAGCAAGGGGGTGGGAAAGGGGATGGAGAAGGCAAGTTCATGTCTAGTGGAAGAGGTTGGGTAACTGAAGCATTTACAAAGCTTTGCGATGCTATTGTAAGCACATGGTCCGGTGACGGATGGCAGCTGCGCTTGTGAGCTCACCATCATGTATTGACTTGTCCGATCACTCTGCTGCATGCCGGAGACTGTCCCCTTGTGTCAACTATACTCAAATAAAGTACATGAAGACTTGTTTTTAATTAGAAATATTTTTTGAAAGCTTTTCATGGAGTGGGGCTCTGGGCATCAGACATCACACCGCAATTTAATCCTGCATGATCCAGTCAGAAGAGGAGGAGGAGGGAATCGTATACAAACAACGGGGTCACCTCTTGTACACAAAAGTCACCGCGAAAGGCAAAACTGATCCTTGAAAATGCCTGAAATTGCCCACAAGCTCCAAAGGCCATGATGATGTTGCCAGGTGACGGTTAGGGGCAGGTATCATTTTAAGTGTTGTTCAAACACGAATCCCATGCTTCTCGAGCCTGAGAGCTTGATAAAGCACTGAGATACTGGGCTCCACCCCCAGGGGGTCCGATGCAGGAAGTCGGGGTGGGGCCGAGACTCTGCATGGCTAACAAATGCCCCGGTGATGATGATGCGGCTGGTCTGGGGAACGGCACTTTGAGAGCCGCCGAGATATTCATTCCTATCTCGGGTGGGACCCGCTACTGAGTACCCAGGCAGGAGATACGTTGCCCCTGTGGCCGGCATAGCTCTTCCACCAGGCCGGGCGCCAGGCTGAGCAGCTTACAGACTCAGTCCTCACTGCATTCTTATTGTCATCCCCACTTTACAGGTGGGAAAACTGAGCCACAGAGATGCTCCCCCACTGCCAGCTCCGGTTGCTTGCTCAATATCACACAGCTTCCCGGTGGTGGGGCTGGGATTTGAAACCCTGCCAGTCTGGATGCAGACAGAATCCAGGGTCCTACTGAACCTCTCGTCCAAATCATTCTAAGGCACAAGCTACTGGAGGGCCGTGGGCCAGTGGGCTTGCCCACAATATTTTAAGTATTAATGTCGTCGCCTTCTTCTGCCTTTGCCAAGCACATGCTTGAATTTACGAATTCGCATAAATTCGTAATGTGTAGCAAGGGGGGCAGGTGTAACGAGACCACGTGCTGGTGGTAGCACTTCTTAATGAGGCTATGGAGGTGACAGCAGCTGGCATTGGTTGAAACGCTACTCTGGGGCATGAACTACACTCAGCGCACATGGCCCCATCTCACCGTGATGCAGCCACTACGGGCTGGGTCTCCACTGTCTCCAGAGCCGTGCTCTGTAAGGTGATTCTCAGGGGGACCGTGCACACGTTTCTCCATGGCCCAAGCCACAGGGAGGAAACGCAGCCTCCAAAGCTCTCCAAACGTGGCTCAGGACTGCGGGCTCTGAACTGGCCCTTCAGTCCCCGAAGCCTCAGTGGCCATGTCCTGCCATGCCCTGTCGGCTGACCCGCGAGGGCCAAGTTCTCCAGAGATGGAACAGGTTGAAACCAGAACTGACCCAGGAGGGCTTGGACGACCCCATGATAATCTAGATCATGTCCAATATCCTTGGTCATTTGATGTCAATGTCCTAGAAACAGTCATCCCATCTTGCAAAGTGTCACTTGAAGGTCCTACCATTGCGGGGAGGGGGTAGCTATGGACGGGCGGCACTAGCGCCATCGCGGGAGACCTGCAGACCACCCCCCTGCCCCATGAGCCCCCCAGACCCACCGGATCTGAGACTGCGTGTTGATAATACCGTGCGGGGCTTCACGCCCACACACGAGTGTGAGATGCACGAGGTTACTGCGCCCAGATCGGCTCGGATGCTGCTTTTCTGGGACCTCACACCTCCACGGGGGTGACAGAGTGCGGCCGCCATACCTTGAGCCTCCTGAACTCCTGCCGGGACAGGAAGCCCTTACAAGCCGCCTGGAACAAAACGATGCTGGGAGATGCCAGCTTCTCGCGTTGCTTCTCAAGCCTCGAGGCCACGCCCGCCTTTAGGAACACCTAGAAGAACAGAAGGTGAGTCCTGCTCAGCTGAATCAGACTGTCTGAGGTGCAAGGCGGTTGCCACTCAGAGCCCAGTTTTTCCTTGCGCGCAGCAGAGATTACTTGATGGCAGGTGCCTGCAACTGAGGGTCTCAATTGTCAAAGCACTTTGTCTCCTAACGGCTCCTCTTTCCATTCTTCTAGCCCCTGGATGCTGAGAGCATGGTGCCCCTGAGTGGTGCTGTCCCCACCAGGGAGCCTGTTGGAAATGCCAAATCTGAGACCCCACCTGCTGAGCCAGAGCAACACCGTAGGGTGACGCTCAGGGGGACCACGCACACATTCATTGCCAAACCACTGTCACTGGGGGAATGCCTGGGTGGCTCCATTGGCTCAGCGTTGCATTCTTGGTTTTGGCTCGGGTCATGATCTCACAGCTCGTGAGTTCTAGCCCCATATCGGGCTCTGTGCTGACAGTGCAGAGCCTGCTTGGGATTCTCTCTCTCTCTCTCTCTGCCCCTCCCCACATCTCTCTCTCTCTCTGTCTGTCTCTCTCTCAAAATAAATAAGTAAACCTAAAAACCACACACGCGCTGCCAGGAGGGACCTGTCTCAACATCTCTGCACCACAATTGCAGACGCAGACCCCAGGCCTTGCCCCAGGAAGGGTTGGATCCATGGGTTTAGTGGCAGGCCTGGGACCATGCATTCTTTCTGAGAAGTGCCGCCGGCCTCTGACAGAAGCAGTGCCCTGGACACACGCGGTCCTGCCTTATAAGGAGGGGCAGAGAATGTGGAGGGAGTGAGGGCTGCCTTCCCCGGCCGGGAGAGGCAGGGACCAGGCTGGTGCCCCCCCACACAGAAGGTGCTCAAGGATCTTCACGGAAAACAGCTTGTGGTCCTCCATCTCCATGCCTCTCTGCTCATCCATAATGGATGGAGGCGCTCCGCAGCGAAGTGATCAATGCCCCCTCGGCACCCCGTGGGGCCGCCTTGCATATACTGCGGGGCACGCGGAAGGGTTTTCTGAGAGCCTGATGCTCTGGGGCCAGCCTGGTAGGGCGGCTCCAGTCAGTCTCACCTCCCCAGGGGCAAAGAAAAGATGCCCTGGGGGCCTGGGACTTGAGTCAGTGACAGGGGCAGGGGTCGCTTTTCGGATGCCCACATGCAGCTAACTTCTATGACCCGGCGTGTTTCTCTGCCATATGTGACTTCTCACCCCAAGGACGTGCTGCTTCTCTAGGGGCACTGGATGGCTCCATCTTATCAGTGACATTATCAAGTCATCAGGGACATTACCAATCAATGTTGCGGATCAGAACCAACCACCTTACCTGATACGTGCAGGTAAAGTACTGAATGTACATAATCCTATACGGTAGTTATTGCGATTCCCCCATTTTATGGAAGAAAAAACAAAGGCTAACAACGGCATTTCCCAAAGGACCCTCCACTAGCAAGCGGCAGCAGCAGAAACATCTCCCTCTGTCTGACGCCAGACCAGACTATAGGTATCACTGAATGTAATTAACATTTGCACGGCATCTAGATTTTTCAAAGCTCTTTCTCCTCTGTACCATTTTAATTAAAAAAACAACTGTATGAGGAGTCCATTGGCCCAGAGAGATTATGTAACTGACTCCAGCTTGCATAGCCAGCGATCAACGAAGCCAAGTTCACCACCAGCATCCATTCTCAACATCAGCACGAGGTGCCTCATTTCCTCATTTGCTACAGTGCCAACGTCTGAAGTTTGGGGTTGAATTGCAATTTGATTCCAGGTGAACAAAGGGTCTCAATCGATCGTCCATTCCCCCAAACCTATTAGCTGTAATGTGGCCGCTCCGCCCATCCCACGGCGAACCCTTCCTCAACAGGAAGATGAGAATTCGCAGGCCTGGTCCATGCCAACTCTGTTTCGCAACCTTCCCTGGCTTTACAGAACACTTCCCATCAGCCAGAGCCACCAAGACAATTAGCCTCATTGAAATAAAGACACGACTGACTCATTACCTATCAGATTGTCTCAATAATGACTGTATTAATTTCACAAGCTAGTGAGTCCCAAAAGCTGCTATAAAAAAAAAATCAATGATCAAAATGATGACAGCCCTAGTTCGTATATTACAAAAGGCGGCGGGCACTGCCACAACCACTATTGATTAAGTATGAAGCTTTCATTAAAAAGATAATTGGAAACGGCCATACACAGAATGGGAATAAGTCATGGGCTCTGCAGAATCTTATCTTGATTTTTTTTTTCCTTTTAAAGAGCACATTGCCAACCAGAAGGCCCACAGCACGTGGGATTCCACCTTTTTCATAAATGTCATGGCTCTCCGCACAGGCCTGGATAAGGTACCAGACGCTGAGAATCACAAAGAAAAATCTAAATGATTTGCCTTTCGTGGGTCCGAAGGCTTATCAGACGCAAGCAGAGTGTAACGTCCCAACATCCCCACATTTAAGGAATCCGTGGGGCCCACTGCTATGCAAACTGTTTTGCCTCTAAAAATGCTGAAGACCAAGGTTTAAAATTCTGATATGGCAATGGCTCCCATATCTGCAACCGCTGGGGAATTAGCTCCCGTCCTAGTAATTTTCCGGATTAGAGGAGTTTCATTCTTTAATAAGTCAAATGTTATCCTATTGATAAGTGTCTGGCCCCACTGACAAATGCGTTCAAGAATTAAATGACAATGGACTAGTTTCCCAGAAGCCTGACTCAGGGTGGGGAGGAAGGGGGGGCAGTGGCTCCATTTAACAGATGAGGAGACAGAGGCTCACAGAGGCTAATAGCCTAGCTTCCAAAGGATACATGGACTTTAATTTGCTCCTGACGGCCGTCTTAATGAATACCAAGTATTAGTCGAGAACAACAGTGCTGTTTTTGTTCATAATTGGGATGTTTTGGCTTCTACGTTTCTTGCCCTCACTGTGTGAAAATGTGTACAAAGACTTCCCTTCCTCTGTTTTTTTCCTTGCTCTACAATAGCGGCCAGGCTTATAGCGACTGATTTTTTTTTAATTTTTTGAACATTTATTTATTTTTGAGAGACAGGGAGAAACAGATCATGAGCCGGGGAAGGGCAGAGAGAGAGGGAGACACAGAATCAGAAGCAGGCTCCAGGCTCCCAGCTGTCAGCACAGAGCCTGATGCGGGGCTCAAACCCACGAACCGTGAGATCATGACCTGAGCCGAAGTTGGCACTTAACCGACTGAGCCCCCAGACGGCCCTAGAGACTGATTTTTGTATTCATGAAATAACCGAGTAATTATCTAGACCAGCGGTTGTCAAACTTGAACATGGGCTGGAGTCCTGAAGAGGGCTTGTTACAACCCAGACTTCTGGGTTCTACCCTCAGGGTTACGGATTCTATTAGGCCTGCATTGGGGGGCATCTGAATGTTTATGTTTCTAGATGTTTCTAGTAAGCTCTCAGGGGGTGCTCCATGGTCCAGAGACCATATGTTGAACACTGCTGGTCTACATGGCTGAAGTTCTTGGAGTTGGAAAACAAGGGCTCTGATTCTGGGCCATCCAGACGTGTGTGTGAGGAATGCGTGTTAGACTTGCACTAACAAATAGCAGGACCCAGCGTGTGGAGAAGACTGTGGGATTCAAGGCCATCTAGGTTTTCATGGGCGCTGTAACTGGTCTCCTAGCTAACTCAAGGCCTTGACAGGGGGCTCACTTCCCAAAGGTGCCTCTTCCCCACCTGGGAAGAAGGGATTTACTAATGATCTCCCAGGAGGGTTTGAGGGAAGAGAGGAACACTGGGTGAAGTGTCTGGCATAGCACTGGGCAGGAGCCCAGGAATGGACAGCTTCATTCCCTCTACTGGAAAGGTCTGTGAGGTCCCAGCCACTGCCGACTGCCAGCGGAATCAATCAGGGTGAGACGGCAGTAGACTACAGTTTCCACCATACAGTGTAGCAGGAGCAAGAGGCGTGGAGGACAGGCATGCGTGTCAATGGGGCAATGGCTACATGAGAGACTGAGCTCTCCAGGGCCAGTGTGATGGGAATCCCAGAATGAGCAATGGCCATTGAGGCCACCATGGTGGGTTTCTGGGAACCTGAGCCCTTCCCCAGCACCTCGAATGGCACCTGGACATGGCAGGTGCTCGACATGTGTTTATCAGTTGACATTAGTCAATCAGGAGATGAGCGGGGGAGGGGGAGGGGGCAATTTTTCCTGTGGTCTGTTTTCTCCCATTCCTGTTTCTACACTTTGCCGTTCTACCCTGCCTGCCACAGGTCCTTGAGTTTACTTCCCAAACCAGAGCCCGCGGAACACTTGCTCCCGGAGACAGTCAGGAGTCTTCCACAAAGACAAAAGGGGTAGCCCTAAATACAGTGTTTTCCCTCTTGAAAACTTGGAGGCTATAGAATCTTATCAGGACTCGTCTCTAAACTTCTTCTAAATGTTGAAGCGTTGGTGGAAAAGCTTCGGGCCCAACACCAGTTTGAAACAAGCAATTTCTGGGGCGCCTGGGTGGCTCAGGTGGTTAAGTGTCCGACTTCAGCTCAGGTCATGATCTCACAGTTCGTGGGTTTGAGCCCTGCGTTGGGGCTCTGTGCTGACAGCTAGCTCAGAGCCTGGAGCCTGTTACACATTCTGTGTCTCCCTCTCCTGCTCATGCTGTCTCTCTCTCTCAGAAATAAATAAAAACATTTTTAAATTTTTTTAAAAAAAGAAACAAGCAATTTCCCCCAACATTAATGTCACATGCCTTCTCACAGAGCCGTCACTTTTCACTGACTGCTGCTAATCAGCCGGGACTACTCGCCGGGGTACAGTTGGCTGCAAAGTAAAAGTTGACAAGGCTCTGGGTGAAGATGAGTGCTTCTTCTTGGGTTTCACGGCAGCCCTTTCTGAGGCTCAGAAATTTCTGCTAAGGTCCAGGATGTGAACTCTTTCAAACCACAAGGTCCCTGGGAGAGTAATCGCTAACAAAAGATACTCCCCAATGCTGTTGCCTCCCGCGTAATATCATTTTATCTTCCTCGCCTTGTAAGGTGGGCAGGGCAGAAAATCACCAGCCCTGTTTTCAGGTGGGGGACCCCGCAGGTGTGGATGATGCACTAGGCCCAGAGTTGGGGTTCATCTGGGCCCCTGATGGGATGAACAGAGTGACAGATGAAGGAAGCTCTACTCACCTGGCTGTGCCCGATGACCACTGCCTTCTTCTCCAGATCCAAGGTCTGCAGGAGCTCCTCCACAGCCTGGGGAGAAAGGTGACAGGGGCAGAGTGAGGCGGACTCCCAAAGCGCGAGTCAGGTTGGCTGGATGGCTGATGCCCCAGGAAAGAGGATGGCTCCCCGTGTCTGTGAGCCTGAGCAACTGAGCCCCACCTGACCCGGGCGAGGATGGAAGATGAGCATGTACTGAGGGTCTACTGTATGCCACCCACTCTGCTGGGACCTTCATGGACACCATCTCCTGGCATCTTCATGGCAACCCAAGGGGGATTGCCATTACCGTGTCCATTTACAAAGGAATAAACCCAAAGATGCAAGAATAAATGAAGGGTGTGTCTGCTGTGGAAGACAGATGGAAGTTCCTTTAAAAATGAAGCCCAGAGGGGCACCTGGGTGGCTCAGCTGGTTAAGCATCTGACTTCAGCTCAGGTCATGATCTCACAGCTTGTGAGTTCGAGCCCCGTGTTGTACTCTGCACTGACAGCTCAGAGCCTGGAGTCTGCTTCGGATTCTGTGTCTCCCTCTCTCTCTGCCCCTCCCCTGCTCATGCTCTGTCTCTCTTTCTCTCTCTCAAAAATAAATAATAAGCATTTAAAAAGTTTTTAATTAAACCTAGAATTATTGTAGGATTCAACAATTCCCCTTCTGGGTATATACCCATGAAAAGTGAAAACAGGGACTTGAACAGATATTGGTACATCCATGTTCTTGGCAGTGTTATTCACAGCAGCCAAAAGGTGAAAGCAGCCCAGTGCCCATCCACAGGCGAATGGATTCACACACTATGGGATACACACACCCAATGAGGGCATTAATCAGCTTTAAAAGGGAAGGAGATTCTGACACCTGCTACGACATGGATGGACCCTGACGGCATGGTGCTCGGTGAAATAAGCCAGTCACACAAAGACAGATGACCCTATTTACACGAGATGCCTATAGACTACTCAGATTGTGAAGACAGAAAGTAGAAGTTCGAGTGCCACGGGCTGGGGGGGGGGGGGAGTGGGAAGTTAGGGTTTGCTGGGGATAGAGTTCCAGTCTTGCAAGATGAGGGGATCTGCTGACGGACTGGAGTGCTGGTGGCACATCACTGGGAATGTACTGGATCCCACCCATCTGCACACTTCAAAATAGTTACAATGACACGTTTCATATTATGTAGATTGTAGGCTGGGGCACCTGGGTGCTCAGTCGGTTAAGGGTCTGACTTCCGCTCAGGTTATGATCTCATGGTTCGTGGGTTCGAGCCTCGTGTGGGGCTCTGTGCTGACAGTGTGAAGCCTTCTTGGAATTCTCTCTCCCTCTCTCTCTGCCCCTCCTCTACTTGCTCACATGCTGTCTCTCTCAAAATAAGTGTTTTTTAAAAATGATGGGGTGCCCTGGTAGCTTAGTCAGTTGAGCGTCCGACTCTTGGTTTCAACTCAGGGCATGGTCTTGCAGTTTCGTGAGTTCAAGCCCTGAGCTGAGCTCTGCACTGACAGCATGGAATGAGCCTGGGATTCTCTCTCTCCTTCACTCCCTGCCCCTCCCCCACTCACGCTGTCTCTGTCTCTCTCGAAATAAATAAATAAACAAACTTAATTTAAAAAAAAATGAAGGCATTTCCCCAAGGTTGTTAGTCACATGTGGACAGAGCCAAATTAGAACCAAGATCTATCGGGCCACATGGCAACCTCGTTGACTTCTCCACTTCACACGCCCAGGGTGGCTCCAGAGGGACCCCAGGCCACTAGGAACTTCACATGCTGCATCACTGCCATTTGCTGTGACAGCCGCCCCCGCCCTCCATCTCTCCCTCGCTGTACTTGTCAGAGACTCTGCCTCACATTCACAGACATTACTGCCCAATGACATGGCTGTCAACCTCGCGTGCTTGACCCAGAGCCTGGAGGGGAGCCTGTGTTTCCTTCATCTCTATTTCCTCTGCTGCACCTGCTACTGGTCTATGCATACAGCAGGAGCTCAATACGTACTATGACTGAGTAAACAAACAAACGAGTGATCCCACAGGGGTGGGAGGGGAGGGGGACAGAAGGAGCAAGGCAGCTCCCTGCAGGAGAAACAAATTCCCTCTGGGAGACTTCCTGAACACGGCATTGGCCAGAGCACAGCCACTTACTGGCATTTTCCTTCGTCATCAAGGTCTGCAGGGTCTGAAACAACCCTGGGGGAGATCTGTACGCTCAGAGAAATGCAGGTCACACCTGGTTCTTTTGTGCCTGCGAGTCCCCTCCCACCCCGCCTCCACACCACCCCTCATGGACCTTCCATTCGCTGAAAATCATAGCCTACTTTTGGAATAAACTGTCAGGAAAGTAATTGCCACACTCAGGAAACAAAAGGTATTATGGGCCTGGTGTAATTTAGTAGATGAGTTTCAATTCCATGGGTCATTGGCATCACGGAAAATTTCCTAAGATACTTTTTAAAAAAAGAAACATATTAAAAGTCTGGTCCAAGACTATAATCTAGGAGCAATTTTCCTCCTCTGACCTCCTGGAAGAACATTCCATAATGCCCCTCCCAAAATTCAGCAGTTCCCCTTACGACATTTTAGCCAAAAATGTTCCAAGGGAGCTATAGGCAGCAAAATGCATAAAAACCAATATATCCAAAACACAGCATCTTTTCTCTCTGCACAAGAGCAAAACAAAATAAAAATTGACTGAAAATAACACAGATGGAGGAAAAATACATGAAACTGACAGCCATGAAATTTTGAAACTTTTCTAAGGTGACCTTGGACATAGCGTCCAGAGTAGATGTTTCGAGGGAGAGGAAACATTCAGGACCGGGTGGTATAGCCACCTGGGCTGAGATCCTGGTTTTACCCCTCACGAGCTGTGTGACCTTGGATGAGCACATTACTTGGAGCTCTGGGTTCGTCTTCAGAATAATGAGGAAGAAATGATCACATCTGTTTCAGAAGTTTCTGTGGCTGTTCCTGCAGAGAGCTCCGTGGCGTGTAGAAGGCATTCAATAAACCTGATGAGTTAGTCCCAATGACCTTGAAGTAGTCCTACTGGCTCCGTCTTGGTCAAAACTTAGTAGAGGTGCTACGGAACGTAAACCAAGCTTCTGTTTCTCAGGTGCACCCCCGAACACTGCCAAAGCACACACACACGGCCACTCAGTCTCCAAGGATTCTTGCCCGTATCTCCTCCTTTCTAGAGCCCTGTAGTTTTCAACGAAGCCAAGAAGATCAGGCCTTCCCGTCGATCTCGTTTTACAGGTAAGAAAGCTTACGTCCCCAAAAATAGAGCCTACGGGCAGCTGCAGGCATTGAAAAATCCTTCTGACCCTCACTTCCCTCACCTACAATATGGCGATAAGGTTCCCTGCCAAGACCTTACGGTGTTGGGATGATCCATGGAGAATATGCATAAAGCGATGTTGCCTCTAAAAGCTGTTATTGTTATCATAATGAGTATTACTCTTAGATGGGACTTTATGAAATGGGCACTTATGTAGGTCAATTATCAGCGATTGCATTCGTTTCTACACCATGTAAATCGCTGTCCAGCAGCCAGTTGGTGGAAGACAGGGCAAGAATTCGGATTACTGTAACAAATCTCTTTCTTATCCCGCATGTTTACAGAATCGGCTATCCCACCCTAATTGCTCAGATATTTGAGGTTCGCCCCTCCCCATATGGAATGCTGAGTAAAATGTTGGCCGTTCTGTTCTGAGGAAACGGTTAAATGGTTTCCTCTTGTACTTTTGAGGCTGAGCCATGGCTCTCGGTGCTTTACACATAAGTCATTTTCTTTTCAAGCCTCTGTGACAGGTATGACTTTATGCCCATTTTACAGACAAGGTCCAGTTTAATGAAAGGACCTGCCAAAAATTTTATGCGCTAGGAAATGGTGGAGGGAGATACAACCCCCGCGAATCAGATTCTTGAGTTTGTTCTCAGCCCTCTGATAATGGGATCTTGTCAGCTCCACTACTCAGTGGCTGTGTGGCCCTGAGCAAGCCACACCTGCTCGCTGATCCTCTGCGGCCTATGCTAGGATATGGGGTAATCAAAACATCTAGGATAGAGTGGAGACTCAATGAAGTCACAAAGGTAGCATGTAGGAGTAAGATTTATGGAATGGTGGAGGAAGGAACTGGATAAATCCTCTTCCCCTACCCCTGAAAAACCAGTGATAAAAATGGTGCAATCTTCAAAAACAAGTTCGATACTCTGGAAACTGAGCAAGGGGATACAACAGATGGAGAAACATTTGTTGAAGAGAAATTATTGACTCTCTGATAAGAGCAGTCGGAGATCGTGACAATCTTGACCCGGGGCTTCTCCGGTCCCTGTCAGGCTCTGGCAGTGTGGTAATCTTAGCAGGGGGAGGCAAGCTGTGGAAACCAGTGGTTTTGCTGCTGGAAGGGGCTCACTTATATGGAGCGACATACAGGAAAGTCCCACACCCAGGGTCGTTGTCAGAAACAGTAGTGATCTTGGCAGCAAGGAAAGGGAGAAAGTCAACGGCACAGCTAGGCTAAGATTACTTCAGGATTGGGGCAAGCAATGGACATTGGCTAGCCAGAAACTTGACACAGAGATATAGGGAATGGCAGTCATGTGGGCCTTGATAAGTCCCCACATACTCTTGGCAATCTGGAGTGATGCACACATGCTCAAGGCTACACACCAGACAGGAGAGACTGACAGAGCCCTTAGCTATCTAGACATCTCTATTTAAACATAAGGCCTGGGTGCCTGGGTGGCTCAGCCATTTAAGCATCCAACATCAGCTCAGGTCATGATCTCACAGTTCAGGGCTTCGAGCCTCGTATAGGGCTCTGTGCTGACAGCTCAGAGCCTGGAGCCTGCTTCAGATTCTGTGTCTCCCTGTGTCTCTGCTCCTCCCATGCTAGTACTCTGTCTCTCTTTCTCTCAAAAATAAATTAAAAAAAAAACACTAAAAAATAAATATATAAAGATAAGGCCACATACATGGGTGGAAAATCTACGAAAGGCCAAATGAAGAGGAAAATCTGTGGCACAAGTGTAAGTGCCCAAA